CGTTCTAACTGTTTTCATATATTGCTAAATTACTTTCTCAAATAGTTATTTAATTTGTATTCTACGAACAATGTTCTCTGATCAAACTGGATTTTTATTTATTTTTTCATAATTTATTAGAGAGGGAAAGAAGACAGAAAGAGCCCTCATCCTCTGGTTTACTCTCCAAATGTCCACAAGGGCCTGTGGATGGGGCTAAATGTGGGAGCCAGGTCTCCTATGTGAGTGACAGGAACGCAATCACTTGAGCTTCATTGCCAACTCGGGAAATGCATTAGCAGGAAACTGGAATCAGAGGCTTGATCTGGGAATTGAATCCAGGTACTACAACACAGGACTGGGGCTTCCAAATCTGCATTTTTTTTCAAGTTTTTATTTACTTGTTTGAAAGGCAGAATTACAGAGAAAGAAGTAGAGACAGAGATCTTCCATCCAGTGGTTCACTCCCCAAAAGGATTGCAATGACCTCGGCTAGGTCAGAGTGAAGCCAGAAGCCTGGAGCTTTTCCAAGTCTCCCACATGAATGCAGGGGTCCAAGCACTTGGGCCTTCCTCTGCTGCTTTCCCAGGTGCATTAGCAGGGAGCTGGAAACAGAAGTGGAGCAGCCCACTGTGCCACAGTGTCTGCCCCCAAATCTACACCTTAACTGCTACCCCAAGTGCTGCCCCAGAAACTGGATTTTTAATCCTTCTTAATTTAATTTTAAAGAGTAGAAATTTTGTCTAATTACTTTAATTCAGTTTTAATTTAGTAGTGAAATTGGACACTTGCATGTATGTTTTTTATGAATTGCCTGTCTTTAGCTGGTTTATCTATTTGGGTCTTGAGAGTTTTTCTAAGATGTCTTTGTTTTACATAAGTTACTTAACCTACCAACCTTTTTCTAATAATGTATTCTCATTTTGATTTTTTAATAAAAAATTTTAAGTATTATTTATTTTCAGTTACTTGAAAGAGTGACAAAGAGATTCTATTTCCTGGTTCACTACCCAATTCCTATAATAGCCAGGGCTGGGTAGGATGAAGCCAGGAGCATGGAAGTCTCATCTGGGGCTCCCACAGGGGTGGTAGGGGCCTGGACACCAGAGCCAATATCTGCTGCCTTCCAGGATGCGTTATCAGGGAACTGGGCTAGAAGCAGAGTAGCTGAGATTGGAACCAGGCGCTTTGATATCGGATGGAAGGTTCCACTCAACAGCTTAACCCCCTGTACCTGCAACATCTGCCCTAAATAATTTTAAGTGAATGTTACTTGTTTTTTAGATTACATTTCAGCTCATCAGTCATCTCCCACATTGCCTACAGTACATTGTTTAGTTTTGTTTCATGTAACTTTTGGTCTTTATGCACAATGAGAATTTAGTCTCCTTTATAAGTAGTATTACACAGGATAGCCAGTAAGTCCCAGCAATTTACCAATTTTTGCCCAGTTTTCATTTATATAGAAAAGGTTTTCCTGTTTAAAGTAAACCCAGGCTTATTTGTTTCTTTAAACTGTTTAGGAGTAGTGACTATAAAATTGTTTCCTGTACAATTTAAGATTCTTCCTGGCATTATTTGTGCAAAAATGATCCCAGTAGTGTGTGACTTGTGCTCAGACATAACAGTGCATAAAACAAAATGCTTGTTCTCTTAAACTTTCCTCTTCCTATTTTTGTTTTAGAATTTTATAGAATCTTCTATCACACTGTTTGAATCTGACCTAGAAAGTGGGAAGTTTATTGATATTACAAATCGGGAAATTCCTGACTTAGAAGAAATTGGCTTTGGCAGTGAAACAAGATCCATTCATGTTAAAAGTGGAGTGTAAGTTTCCCCTATGTTAAGAACCTTGAGAGACTGGTGTTTAAAAGTATTATTTGCTTGATTGATCTTTTTTCCCCTCCCTCACTAGATGGGTTGCCTACCAGCAGAAGTTCTTCTGTGGAGAACAGTACATTCTAGAGAAGGGGAAATATAAATGCTTTTTTGACTGGGGAGGATCCAATAATATAATTATGTCAATACGACCTATCCAGCTGGTAAGTGAAATATGAAGCCAACCCACATCAGTGGCATGTAATGGTATATTAAGTGAGTATGGGAGTGGACATTTTGAAAGTGAAAATGTTGAATTATGTGTATATGTGTAAATGCAGACAATGAGACATAATATGCATTTGTGTACACTGCATAGAGAGGTAGTGTGGATAGTAGCACATGAACGAGACGACACTGTAATTTGAACAGTTCACTCAACAGTTTTATCTAGCGCTTCTGCTGTGTCAGATAGATCACTGAAGATAAAAGATAAACAAGACTCCCCTGACGGGTCTTAGTCTTGAAGGGGAAGCAGATCTGTAGACAAGTAAAGACGGTGTGTCTAGGCAGGGCTGAGGAGTCAGGGAGAGGAGCGGGCCTGGGCAGTTGGGGAGGGTCAGGGTGTACTGAGTGATGTTTTAAGGATAAAAGCAATATTTTTCCGGCAGAAAGGGCATTCCACAAGGCCAGAGTAATCTCCGTGTGTGGAAAGTTAGGAAGTTGTATAGTATTTGGATAACACAGAAGAATAAGAGTACCCATGAGATAATGATCACAGATTCGAACTTTGTCTTTCAAAGGGGCATTGGGGCACATTTTTTTTCCTAGCTATTATTCAAAATGAATTAGTCATAAGTGCTAAAATTATTATGAGAGAGTCCCGTATGTTATTTGAAGGTCATAGGCAGTTCTAGGAATCTAGTAGTTTGCTCAGAGCATTCAAAATTTGTTTTTCAAAAGACATTTTCAAAACATTTGAAAAGACACCTCAGATTACATGATTGCATTGTTTAACATGTTTGAACATGTTTTTCAGGAACCACTTGGGATAAATGAGCCTCCACATTTGGTATGTTGAAAAATATTCTTCACTTACCATTGTTACACAGTTTACTAAAAGTGTTCATTCCCTTTCTCAAATCTTTTTCTTTCCCTCGGATAACTTTTGTGTGTATTGGTACCTTAAGCAGGAGAGTGTCCATCTTTGTGGCTGTCACACAGTTCCTTTTGTGTTACGTGACAGAGCTGCAGCTCTGACCACTTTGGGATCATTTTGAACCTGTGCATGCCTGCCTGCCTGCCTGTCTCTTTTTTTCTCTTTCTTTCAGATTGATTATTTATTTTAAATTTATTTATTTATTTGAAAGGTAGAGTTACAGAGAGAAGCAGAGAGAGAGAGAAAGAGGTCTTCCATACACTGGTTCACTCTTCAGATGGCCACAACGGCCGCAGCTGCACTGATCTGAAGCCAGGAGCTGGGTCTCCCACGTGGGTGTAGGGCCCCCAGGACTTGGGCCATCTTCTACTGCTTTCCCAGGGCATAGCAGAGAGCTGGATCAGAAGTAGAGCAGCCAGGACTTGAACCGGCGCCCATACGGGATATCAGCACTGCAGGCAGCAGCTTTACCCTCTATGCCGCAGCGCCTGCCCCTTTCTTTCTTCCATGTCACACGCTTACTTGGCATAGCACAGTTGACTGTAGATAGAATGGAGAGTGTCTTCACCTGTCTATCCTGCATGTGATTTCTAATACCTGTATCAAAACATGCACTTGGTGAAGTGGAAACCCTACCTTTTCACTCACAATGTGTTCATGGTTCAAAGGGGAGTGGACAATACTCTGGAGCCTAATGTTTCTTTCTCCATTGAGGGCTGGAAGTTGTGCCTGTTTTATGCTACTAATGACTCTAAGGTCATTAATAATCCCATCTATCAATAACAAAACTGAGATTCAGAATTTAAGCAAGTGCCATATCACAGTTAGAGGTAGCAAAGTAGACCTCTTCTAGTATTTGACATTGACAAAACCAGATTTTCAGGGTTTTTCAAAGACAGACATGTGAGCAGTACAACCATGGGAGGAAAAGGCAATGACAGCCATTGCCTTCTCTATTTCATTTTGAATAACACATTCATAAAAGTTACTGTCAAAGAGCCAGATGTAGTGATTAATTGTAAATATTTGGCATTTGCTACCTTTACATAACACTGTCTTTTCTCTGAAACTGTGTTTTTTGTATTCATGTCAGTGTTTATATATCTCAGATGCACTGAGTTTAACTAGGCTTCCATTCACAGGGCTTTGAGGTTTTATTTTATGATTAGCTCAGGCCTGTTGGGAACATTTCCCTTCTGAATATAATTGACTTGTTGTATTTAGAGCTATTTCCTGCCAGATCTTTATTTTGGACTTGTGGAAACTCCCCACTGTGGATTTTTAAAGTGCTTTTTCACAGGATTCAAAATAACAGGAATAGATAAAAGAGTTAAACAGGAATAATTTCAAGCTGCAGATTGCACTTTAAGGACAGATGAAAAGTCCCATTCTTGTAAGCTCTGGTTCTCTGCCTCCCTCCCAGGTTTCTTTGTTTGTTTGTTTCTTTTTTAATGGATTTCCTTTTTTGGGCCAGATTGTGGGAGGGTTTTCTTTATAGTATTTCCAGTCCAACTTGGAGGGACAGGAAGCAGCAGCAGACGCCCAGTGCCGTGGCCCCTACTTCACTTTTCTGGGTTTGCCTCAGTTCCTGCCTTGTGAACTGCACGTTTCAGACAGGTTTATGATAAACAGAGATTGGATAACAAACATACCATGCCCTTTTAGTTCACCCAGAATAAAGCTCCTGTTATTTTCAGTGGCTTCATGCTGGGGCGTTTTCCTTGTCTGTATGCAGTTAGATGTAAGCAGAGGTGTCCTGGCAGGTGGCCTGGTGTTCCATTCAGTAACTAGGGAGTATTTTCTCCTTCTCAGGTAGCTGTGACAGCCAGGCCTACAGATGCTCTGCTCCCTTGGGGGTGCTCGTGTTCCCCTTCTGTGAGAGATAAGGAGTTCAACTGAGAGAGGAAGTTTTTATTATGATGATTTTAAGAGGAATTCCTCAAGCAACTTAAGAGGGAATAGGCCAGAAAAAATGTGTGCACAGAGGTTAACCTCCATTGTGAAGGTTCTGGTGATGAAAATGTTGCTGGTTAGTTGTAAACATCTTGTGAGGAGCTAGGGATTCTTTGGGATTCTGAAGGAACACTGCCTTTTATCGTGGCGATTATTTTTCTAAAAAGCTAAAGATGTCACGGATTTTCAGCTCAAGACAGACTGGGTCATTATAAATTTCATCATTAGCAGGTGGCAGCTTTTTTTTTTTTTTTTAATTTTTCTCCTAAGCAAAACAGAAACCAAACAGAAGGTGAATTGTCTTCATATTGTCATCATCTCTCTCTTAATGAGTCCTGAAATCTTATTGGACTACATCTTGCAGAAGTGAATTTTGTTTCCAGGGGAGGTGTGAGTCAGGCACCATTCTCTGGAAAATTCTAAGCAGTTCCCACCTTTGACCCAACCAAGTACCTGGCATTCCTAGAATTTTTTTCAAGTAAATTAGCAAATTGCCAAATTTTAGATTTCTTTGAATACTCAGACCCTGTTCCATTTTATACATGTTCCTGGCCAAGGAAAACGTCTGGGTCTTCTCTTACATTGAATAACTTAGTCACCCTGAATTTTACAGTGATGACAGTTGTGTGGTTACTGTCATGCGTGGGGATAGTAAAGTGACTTTTAGACATCGATTAGTAAGATGCAAGAGGAATAGAAAGAAAACACTTTCGTGTGTTTGTGTTGGGGAGATACTGTGACCAGCTTATAGAATCTAAGGTCTGGAAATAGGAAGAACTGTTTAAATAAAGAAAGCCTTCTTTGAACAGGGAAATAGTTATTGTAGGATGCGTAATTGCTGTGAGAAGTGCATAATACTACATTGTGCGGAAGGTGTGATGTCATAAGGAATGGAAACAAGGCTTTTCTTTGTTTGACAGCTCTCATGTTTATATGAGGGAAGTCTAAAGAGCTGCAGAAGGGGAAAGAAAGTTTCTCATAGGAATTATTTTAGTATTGGAGTAAATAAAATTATATTAAAAGATGATGGAATAAGTTTTTGAGCCTGGCTTCTGTGTTTGGTCAGTAATTGACTTTGGAGGTTGTTAGTTTCTTATATTGGATGAGAGACCTATTGCCACATTTTATTTATGTTTATGATAAGTGAGAATTACACAGTGAAAGGCATTTATACAGCATCATGATAAAGTGGTGATTTCTGCCTCACAGGGTAGTTCTAATACAAGTGAAAAGTTACCTTACACACCAATGGGGTACCTCTGCCTGCTTCTATACACTTCCACATGAGGGATGTGTAGGGATTAAGTCACACTGCCACATGGCACAGAGGGGTGGACGTGGTTTGAAAAGTATTCATGCCTTATACATCTGATCGTTGCCTAGGCTCTCAGCAACCTGAGTTGATTTGTACATTGTTTTTCTCCATTGATCTGGAAGGGAAATCAACATAGTGATTTACCCAGTTAGTGTTTTTTTGAAAACTTAATTTTACTAAGGCACTGTCATTTAATTTTATCTATAGTTGAAACCATAATTTAATTGCTATAATTAGTAAGAATAAGGTTGGTTTCTATGTGAACCACCCGCAGAACATTATTATGAAAATTGTTCTAGACTGAAGCATTTACAAGGAAGTCAAAATGAGGTGTTACTTTTGTGGGTTTGTTCTGATTTTGAGTGAACTATACACTGCTTCTCACTTTGGGGTTAGGTAGAAATAAAATTCAGATAAGTATTAAATTCAGGTTTTTAAAGTTTGGGCAAAAAACATTTTAACCCAGCAAATCAAAAAGTTACAATATGACAGATTTTTTTGTTTATACTTGTGTGAATTTTAATTATTTTTGGATATGAAGACAGACTAAAAGTTAGAGATGGCTAGTATGTATACTTATCTGAGATAATGATAAACCTGCATTGTCAGTAGTCCAAAAATTGGTGTTTTATAGTTTCATGGTACAGCGTTGAAGTATAAATCTTACACTCAGCAATATAAAATTAAATAATTCAAGTAGCTGTGAGTACAAGTAGTACAAAGACAGCTGTGGTCACCATTCTCGTATGGCTGTTCCAATTATTACTGTGAATTAAGGTAACATTGCAAGCAAGAGAGATTTTGCTGCATTTTTGGAAGTTAAAAGTGATTGACTTTGTAGTTTTCTGTTTTACAAACTTTTAGTTAAAAATGTACTTCTGTCTTAACTTTGGACTTACTGCTGCTGTCCTCTGTATCCAGCAGAAGGACTGGGACAGGAACTTGCTGGATCACATCTCCTTAAGGCAAGGAGTCCCTTTACGGTGTGATTTCACATTAGAAGTCATGTTGCACAAGCCGTGGCTGCTCAGGGGGGAATTGGTTCTTTCACCTCTTTGGTTTTGGCCGATCTTTGACATCAGACCGAGCAGAGACAGAGCAGAATGAGATAGTCAAGAAACAATTTCACTAAGAGGACCCTTGGGAAACTGGAGGAGGTGAACATCCACTGCTCAGTTGTTCTGCATGACAGCGCAAGCAGGAGAGAGGACAAAGCTGCAGACCATTCATTGCGAAGCTTCTCAGCTGCAGTCAGGCCTGTCAGTGCAGGGTGGACCCCGGGCCCATATTATTCCAAGTCTCCAGTGTATTATGGAACATTCATTCAATTCATTCATTGTTTCTTTCCTATTTTATAGATCCAAGGCCACGAGAGTTGTAAATTATTGTTTTTCTGGTCTAAAGGGACTTGTGGTTGAGATTTCCTGGATTTTTCTTGATAGAAGGGACCAAAGTAGAATCATAGCTATTTAGAACTATAAGCTGTGCATTTAAGGTATCCTTATCAGAAAACCGAAGCCTGTAAGCCGAAAGACCCACCAGAGACATGTTTCTCTCTTCACCGTAAATCTCACACTGATCCCATCATTATTATCTCCTCTGTCATCCGCTTCTGCTCTCCTAGGCACGCATGTTCCCTCCTTTCCTCCTAACTGGGAGTCAGGAAAACCTGGGAGAAAGACGACACACTAGCTGGTCCCCAGAGTAATCCAAACCGCTTCGTTATTTAGCGCTAAATTGCTTCTTCTTGTATGCATCTCATCTCCCGTCATTTGACACAGTGGACAAGGACCTTGATTCTGTAGGTAGCATTGTTGTGTGGGCACTGTGCCCACAGTATGGTGCACGAGTTGTATGAAAGTGGTAAACAATGGTGATCTCCTTTGCTGAGAAAATGTAGGAAGAACAATGTGACTTTAAGATCACCATCCTCAACATAGATAAAATACCAGTCTAATATTTTGCAAAATTTTTAAAAGTACATGGAAGTAAAGGTTTTTATTTGCCTATGATGATGTAAAAAATTGAAGTGTTTAATTATTATTGTGTTGTTCTTGCAGCTCAAAGCATTCAGTAAACCTGGGTTCCAAGGTGAATGTATAGATTATACAAATGAAATTTTTCATTTGACTTCATTCACACCACGTTCTTTTAAAGTTCTTCGGGGTTGGTATGTATGTTTATTGAGTGTTTTCTACTGTTACTTAGTAACTAAATTTCTTTTAAAGTTACAGAGGTTTGCCTTGTTTTCTGTTCTGCATGCAAAGTGAGTTTAAAAAAAATGTAACCATTGCTCAACTGCTAACTTGCCTATAAATTTGACTCATAGTGGAATATAGAAAAATGCAATGGGCACCTTCTAATGGCTTTGTTTTTCATTGTTCCCTTTAATTGCTTTCTAAATATTTTGAATGTATTTTATGGGTATAGCATGGTATAGAATGCTGTAAAGAGTAACTATTCTTTTTGTCCTTGTAAGACACATTACTTGTAAATTTTTTCAAAGGTTTGTTTTATTTATTTGAAAGGCCAAGTTACAGAGAGAGGGGGTGGGGAGGGAGGGGTAGAAAGCGATCTTCTATTCACTGGTTCACTCCCCAAATGGCCACAACAACTGTGGCTGGGCCTGGCCGAAGCCAGGAGCTGCTTCTGGGTCTCCCATGTGGGTGCAGGGGCCCAAGGATTTGAGCCATCTTCCAGTGGTTTCCCAGGTGCATTATCAGGGATCTGGATCCGAAGTGGAGCTGCTGGGACTCAACCGGCACCCATATAGGATGCTGGCATCATTGTGCCTTAATGCATTATGCCACAATGCCAGCCTCTACTTCAAAATTAAAAAAAAAAAAACCAACTTTTTCATGTTTGCTTAAAGTACTCATTATTCCCATTTGTGAAATGATGAGGAAATGAGATTCAGAGTTAGTTTTTCGCAAGTTCACAAACCAAGTGCCAAACCCAGGGTTGCTTTGGTGTTCTTTTTTTTTTTAACTTTAAATACTATATTTTGGCAAGTGCTGCGCTCACTATGCTAATCCTTCGCCTGCAGTGCCAGCACCCCGGATTCTGTCCTGGTTGCTCCTCTTCCACTGCAGCTCTCTGCTGTGGCCCGGGGAGACCAGGAGGAAGCACCTGGCTCCTGGCTTCAGATCGCACAGCGCACCAGCTGTAGCGGCCATTTTGGGGGGTGAACCAACGGAAGGAAGACCTTTCTCTCTGTCTCTCTCACTAACTCTGCCTGTCAAAAAAAATACTATATTTCCCTAACTATAACAATATACTGTATCTTTCTCACATGTGCAGAAAACTGTATGTGATTCTCTATGGTTTCTAGGTAGTATATCTCTATCTAATAACCCAGCAAAATCTCCCTTTTTCTTTGAAAAATCTTGGCTTTGTCAGCACTCCTCCTTGCTCTTCCTGGGTCAGTAGAGAGGGTCTCCTACTTGAATCTCCCAATTACTCCTTACTACGGAGTCTTATTTCCAGTGTTTACCACAGAGTGATCATAGCCCAAGCCTTTGTAAAATCCAGTTTAATACTTTTACTAATCGGCTTTAATTTCCATGGCCTTTCTCTGGTACCACAGACCAAGCTCAAACTTCCATTTTCATCCTTTACCATCAGCTAGTTCTCGTATTCCTTGTTCATTCTCTGTCTTTATCCTGTGCCTTGTTTCCCCCTCTTCCAACAAGTTTACTTAGCCATTTGTTTCCCTCCTTATCATCTACCCCAAGAGCCTGCAAATTTGTTTTCTTTCTTAAGGGCCAAATGGTAACTATTTTGGACCTTGTGGACTCTAGAGGCTCTGTCCTAGCTACTCAGCACTGCATTAGATTACACAAAGCAGTCATAGACAATACACAGATGAACAGGCATGACTATGTTCCAGTGTAATTATGCACATTGGAATTCAAATTGTACCCAATATTTACATGTCATGACATAGCCTTTTAATTTTTTGTTTGTTTGTTTTTTTGTTTTTTTTTGTTTTTTGACAGGCAGAGTGGACAGTGAGAGAGAGAAACAGAGAGAAAGGTCTTCCTTTGCCATTGATTCACCCTCCAATGGCCGCCACGGCCGGCGCGCTGCGGCCGGCGCGCTGCGCTGATCCGATGGCAGGAGCCAGGAGCCAGGTGCTTTTCCTGGTCTCCCATGGGGTGCAGGGCCCAAGCACCTGGGCCATCCTCCACTGCACTCCCTGGCCACAGCAGAGAGCTGGCCTGGAAGAGGGGCAACCGGGACAGAATCCGGCGCCCCGACCGGGACTAGAACCCGGTGTGCCGGCGCCGCTAGGCGGAGGATTAGCCTAGTGAGCCGCGGCGCCGGCCAGCCTTTTAATTTTTGAAAACCATTTAAAAATGTAAAAGCGTCTCTTGGCTTTGGGCTGTATGGAAACAGGCAACGGGGCCCATTTGGCCCACCAGCTGTAGTTTGCTGATCCTGGTCTGTAACAGATTTTAGATCTCTGCTAACCTGAGCCAGCAGATGCTATTTGTTTGGCCTATATACTACACTAAATGAATTTTTTTATATCACTACTTAAGTGTAGGATATATTACGGAAGAATCTGTTTCTGACTGTCTCCTTAAACAATCAGAAGATTTTTGAAGGCTTTAGGAAAGCTTTTGTCTTTGGCAGTACTTACTGGTATTGAGTAGACGGTGAGTGTGCGCCCAGTGTGCCACATCCACCGTCATACCCGATTTTTTTCACCCAGCCTGCTACTCATTTGCATGACCTGCTTAACATCCTGCAGGTATGTAAGTTTCTTATCTCGCTTATCTACATAGATTCTTTTTTTTTTTTTTTTGACAGGCAGAGTGGACAGTGAGAGAGAGAGAGACAGAGAGAAAGGTCTTCCTTTTGCCGTTGGTTCACCCTCCAATCGCCGCCACGGCTGGTGAGCTGTGGCCGGTATACCGCACTGATCTGATGGCAGGAGTCAGGTGCTTATCCTGGTCTCCCATGCGGGTGCAGGGCCCAAGCACTTGGGCCATCCTCCACTGCACTCCCTGGCCACAGCAGAGAGCTGACCTGGAAGAGGGGCAACCAGGACAGAATCCGGCGCCCCGACTGGGACTAGAACCCGGTGTGCCGGCACCACAAGGTGGAGGATTAGCCTAGTGAGCCGCGGCGCTGGCCTACATAGATCCTTTAAGACTTAGTCCATCCCCATTCCCTCAATAATCCTCTTGATTAGCCATAATTCAAGCAGTCTTTTCCCTCTCATATTTTCTATAGCTATTCTGCTTTGAGCCTCTTTGTGTTTGTTCTTATAGTTATTACACAAAGGATATGAGAGCTTTACAGTATTAACACATATTATATAGGGCACCATAAGTTAAATAGATTACCTGCAACTCTTTAATAAGAAATATGTACCAAAGAATTGAAATAATTTTATCACTATTATTTGGCTCTGAGTTTCTGCTCCACTAAGAAAAAAGAAATTGACTAGCAAAATATATTTTCATTTTTTGAAAAAAAGAAGCATTGACGTTTTCCTGGAGAACCAATTTTTCTGACATGAAGTTCAAAACAAATTAGTCACACATGTTTCTTCATGTACAAATTGTACAATGACAGTTTAATAAAGACTGTAAGAATCATGACATTTGTGTAAGTACCTGGAGAGCTCTAGATGTGAGCTCGCTCCATTACTTGTGGCTGTGTAACCTTAGGTAAACTGGGTCGACTCTGAACCTCTGCTTCCTCATCTGTAAAGGGGGATGACAATAATATCTGCCTCAAAGAATTCTTAGAAGGACTAAATAAATTAAAGGCCTGGCACGTTGAAAACTTTTGATAAGTGTTGGCTGCAAAATGCTTATTACATAGAAGACGTGATAGTACATTATAACGTCACCAAACATTCCTATGGCTATCCAAAGTTAACCAGGTCTAGCTAGAATTTAGTACCTGTGATCTGAAGGGCTAGAACTTAAAACACACCAAAATTAAAATAGCCAATTAATTTCTCCCTTAGGCTCCTTCTTTTCAAAAGGAATGCCTTAACTGAGCTTTTGATGAATACTGTATTGAAGATAACTCACTGTTGAAGATTGCAGCAATTTCCATTAGATATCAGTTGAATAGATGACAGATTTTTTTCAAAGATTTATTTGTTTATTTATTTGAAAGAGTTACACAGAGAGAGGAGAGGCAGAGAGAGAGAGAGGTCTTCCATCCGATGGTTCACTCCCCAGTTCGCCGCAACAGCTGGAGCTGCGCTGATCCGAAGCCAGGAGCCAGGAGCTTCCTCCGGGTCTCCCAAGTGGGTGCAGGGACCCAATGACTTGGGCATCTTCTACTGCTTTCCCAGGCAGAGAGCTGGATTGGAAGTGGAGCAGCCAGTCTTGAACCAGCACCCATAGAGGATGCCGGCACTTCAGGCCACAGCACCTGCCCCTAGATGACAGATTTTATGTAACTGTGTGGTTTTAGGGGTTTTACTTCTGTACCCACCATGGCTGAACACAAACTCATGATGAAATAAGATACAAAAACTTTTGGCTTTCCTGAAAAAGAACTTCTAATTCATTCAAGTATTCATTAATCACCATAATTTAATCCCATTTTTTGAAGTCGCTAATATCTTTAGCTAGAATCCATGTCTTCTTCAAATTTCATCTCTTTCACTTAATAGATTGGGGAACCTTGGACAGATATCTAACCTTTCAGATTCTGTTTTGTTGCCATAAAAGTAAGGACATGTTCTAATCTGTAATATTACTGAGGACACAGTGAAATAATATATGTAAAGTTACTAGTCTAATGTCAAGCATGTAGTGGCTGTTGGTTAGTGATAGCTGTTAGTTTTTTAATGTGTGCTGGCTAGCACCATGACCTCGTTCCACAGGGTTGCTGAGACTGTACTGCCAGCTGTCTGCAAGTGACTGAATGTCACATTGCTTGTTTTGCAGCTGGCTCCTGTATTACCAGGAGGATGTTTGTGATCATCAGTGTGTGTTGGAAGAAGGCCTGTATGCCGACCTCACCTCCTGTGGCTGCCCAACATCAAGAGTCACAGCCCTCAAGCCCATCGACTATGTAAGTACTTCGCTGAATACATACTTATGAGACCCTTTTCCTTGTCCAGTTTCACCACTGGATGAAAATACGAAGCTGGAAGAAACGATACAAAGGACAGTATCAGATTATCAAAATGTAAAAAATGTGAATAATCTTGCCAGTTGTAAAATTAAGGTTCACTCATGAATCTAACCAGAATGCAATATTTTTATTTTTATTTTTTATTTATTTATTTTGAAGCAAGTATGTATAACTCAAGAACTAAGGCAACATAGGCCTGGGCTTAAATGCTTGAAGTTTGATACTTTAACTAGTTTGGGTGACATTGGCAAAATGACTTGGTTTCCTAATCTACAGCAAATAATAGTGAGGCCCCTCTAATATTAAATGAAATAGTGCATGTAAAATACCCTGCACTTGATGAGTACCCTATCAATGTTAGCTATTAGCACCATGGATATTATTGTTATAACTGCTTAACTATCAAAAACAGTAACCTGACCACCTTAATTATTCTGTTAGGTAAGTCACATGTGATTTGCTACATGTTACTTTAAGGCATGGATCACCACTGATAGTGATTTCAAGCCTTTGGGGCACCAGGGCTTTTCTGCCAGGTGTGTGCAGAATTGTCTGGGTCACTGTGGAACCCCACTTTATGGAGTAAGTGGTTATTCTTTCCAACAAAGTTGTTCAGAATTTCAAGTCTCAGGAAAACAGGGTCACTGTTCTGGGGAATTAGTTCCAGGCCTCTGGTCGAGGGAGGTAGTGAGGTTCAGGGATATTGTTGAGATGCTTAGTTAGGATGATTCTCTGAGGATATGTCTGGCCAAAGCTTGCAATAAATGGAGGGAAGGAGTGACTCAGATCTTTTGCCTAGAACTGACTCCAGGGCTAATGACCACACTCAAGATCTTTGATCTCAACCTAGGCAGTGTCATCTTATTTCACAAGGCATTCCTGGATAGAGTATTCTGGGCATCAGGCTAAAAATAGAGTCTTGGCCCAGGAACAAGAATATTAATAGTCCCTGGTCTCTAAGTGGCCCTGTAGATGCCAACTTGGAAAGAGTAAGTAGCTGGTGATGCTTCTTATCTGTCACAGGAAAACTGGTTAGAAAAAAGACTGTGATCTTGTCGGTTTCAACAGATTTTGATAACTCTAAAAAAAAAATAGGAAAGAATCTACACTTACTGGGAAAGCAACTTTCTTAGTTTTTAGTGGTCAAATCAATAGACAGGTACTGATTTGATACTAACAGCAGTAAGATTCTAAGTTATGAAAATACCATCTTGAAAGGATTTTTCCAGAACTCTTAATTCAGGAAACTAAACCAACTTAATATCTAGGGAGGACATTATAGAAATGGGGTCAGAATTAATGAGTATTACTATTTCTTTGAAGAGTCACAATTTTACACATTCAGGAAATGTAAAATGAGTAATTAAAATCTGGATTGAAAATACACAGAGAGAAATATTTTCTCTATGTTGTCATGTGCATTTGCATGTCCCTAGATGCATAGCCAGGCAGTGTAGGTGAAAGTGCCTGTTGGGAAGCGCTCGGAATCTGTACACTTCTACTCCAGAACCTGCGGAAGTGTGCCTTTGGTTTTGGAAGGGCATCATATTACTTTTCAGATTCCTTTTCCTGGTATATTTTACGTTGTTGAAAGGTGTTTGATGAAGGAAGACTTCTTAGGGCATCAGGTTGGTGTTGAAATGGAGTTAGGATGAAATGCGGTCGTCCCAGCACAGACTCAAAGACAGACCATACAGGTGCCTCAACAGGTAGTATTACCTTGGTGACATCGGCCATGCTTCACCCTGGAGACTCTGAGGCCCTGAGCTGATCAGAGCTAGGGAGACTGATAAGGTAAACCTGAAGGTAATCTGTACTAAATGGGGTCTAGTGATTGGAGGTCTTGAGCAATGTCACAGGCATTTTTCCACTTCTCTGGGAGAACATGGGCAGCTGAGTTAGGTATCACAATGCTGAGTGGAAGATTTGGGCAGAATACGGTAAATGTCTTGTTGAGGTTTGTAGGCTAATGTTCTCCACTGAAGAGACTCCTCCCGCTCCCCTGGATCATAACTGCTCACATCTCTTTATACAGGGCTGGACACTCTCCACCCCTTCTGCTTCTCTGGTTCCTTTTGCATCCCTCAGCCCCCCACTCTGCTCTCCACATACACACTGTATTCTTTCTTAGGAATTGATAGACTTTTTTTTTTCCCTATAAACTTGTTAGCACCACTGCCTATGCCTCGGTTTCTGGATTCATTCTTAGAAATGTTTCTGCCCAGCTGAGTTAACTTTATATATGCTTGGCTAATCCTTTGCTTTTGCTTTTGCTAGTTATAACCATAAAATCCTGAGGTTGTGGCCTGCAGCTGGGATTCCCAGAGATGCCGTGACTTAGTGCTTCAGTATCATAATGGTGCAATAGTGAGGAATGTTAAGGCTTCATCTTCAAATAAGATTGGTATGTTTTGCAAATGACAGTTTGCTCCAGGCTGACTTGCAGTGGTGCAGTCATGGGTTACAGTCTAGAGGAGCATGTATGCATAATTTGCAGTGCGGCAATTATTTTAGAATGAAAGGGGCATAGTTTGCAGTTCTATTTCTAACTAATGTGACCTTGGAAAAATCCCTTAATTTTTCTGGGCCTCAGCTAACTCATCTGTAATAAACTGTTAGAGAATGAATTTTCAGATCTTTGACAGCCTTCATTTCTTTTGCAAATAAGTATTCATATTTCGAATTGGACATGAAAAAGAATCCAGCTTTAGAATTCGCACAATCTGAGGGAAGAAGATCATCTACTACCTTTCACAATAGTTCCCTGAATCTGAGGGCTGGTGTGGTGGCATACACGGTAAGCCACACCCTGTGGTGCCAACATCCAAGATGGGCACCAGTTTGTGTCCCAGCTGCTCTAAAGCACCTAGGAAATCAGCAGAGGATGACCCAAGTTCTTGGGCCCCTGCTCCCCATGTGGGAGACCCAGATGAAGCTTCTGGCTTCAGACTGGCCCAGCCCTGGCTGCTGTGGCCATTTAGGGAGTGAAGGAGTAGATAGAAGATCTTCCTCTCTACCTCCTTCTTTCCATCCCTCCTTTTTTCCACTCCTTCTGTATCTCTCCCTTTCAATAAATAAATACATCCTAGGGAAAAAAATAGTTCCCACAATCTCAGTGATGGATAACAAGAGGGTTTTTTCTCTTCATCTTTTGTTTCAGCCATTTTAGGACAGTTGTTTCATGTCCATCCCAGGCTTCAGTTGGTTTTTAGGGACACTTTCAGTCTATACTTTGTTTTGAGGCCAGGCCTAGTGGGAGCACCTAGTTGGGGACAAACCTATTTTCATGATAGAACAAAAGAGGGAAAGAGACCCTGACCGCAGAGTCACATTTGAGACTTCATGCTGTTGCCAAAAACATGTCATAAAACTAAGTTCAGCATCCCTGGGGCAGGGCTGAAGCGGCTGGAGTAAATATATCCGAACTGTAATCTACTCTACTTTAAATGTACAAACTGAAGGAGGTGTTCTCTGTTACCAGATTCTGGGTTTTTTAAGCATTTTGTATTTATTCTCTCTGCCGCTGTACCAGAGCTAACTCAATTTTAAAAAATCATTGGTACTGCTTTTTAGTGGAGGTGATTCACTGGCTGTCAAATGAAATGTGTGGTAGATAAGCAGAAGGGCCTGTCTCTGCACATGGTCTCCAGTTCCCTTTCAAAATGCATTCAGAATTCCAAAATCATTGATTAATTTAATATTGTGGAATTTAATCATGCCACGACGATTCTGTGTGAACATTTTGAGAAAAGTAATACCATGGTAAGTGGCCTTGGGAAAATGAATGAAGTCCCAGCTTTTCGTCAGGCTCTTCACAGGATATGTAATTGTATTTCTGTGTTTGATAATACACCTAAATATCTATTTTGGTCCACAGTGGAGTGAGTTGTTATTGATTTGTTTCTCTTTAAGATTTTCATCAATTTTGGTTTGGTAAGTGTTAAGTGTGATTATAAGATGACCTTTTACGATAGAGGGGTTTAATATTAGGCTTGATGGAGCCTTTTTTTTTTTTTTTCCTTTAGTCTGAAACCAGAAACCAAAGACTTCTATATTTAGAAATAATTATACTGGTGTGAAAGAGCAATATGATGACAAAGTGCCAGAGATGATGACTGGTACATGAGCATAGGGTTCTATCAGTGAAAAAACACGACAGATTCACAATTTGGGGGAAGAAAATTTAAAGTTACTCTTTGGTTGAAGAAGAAGATTTAAGGTAGTTGGATTGTTTATGATAAATACCAGCAGTGCTCCACAATGACAACATTGCTGAATATGCATTTTATATTTATTTGCTCAACCTCAAGTATTGAGCATCTACTGTATACCAAATATTGTGTTATATATACACTGAATATGAATTTTAAAAAGAATTAGATGACATAGTGAACTTGTGTTGTCAAATCCAAATCTCATCTTCCTCCTGGTCACTGAAGTGTAGATGTTGCTCATAGATCTGCTTCTGGCCTTTTCTCTTTTGTACTTGGAAATTTCTGTGGTCATAACTTCAGTTCTCACCTCTGTTGGTTACATGATGCCCAGATCTTTAGAGAAAGCCGTAGTCTGTTAATCCTTGAGCTCCATGCCCCAGATTCCAGGGGGATGTTCATCTGCAACCTTCTTAGTCTTGTTCCTTTCTCCCTCATTTGCTTTCAAAAACACCATTGTTACCCCCATCACATTGCCATAAAGTCTGTCTTCATTTTTGATTCTCCCTATTTCCTGATTTCCAACATCCAGTCAGTAGCTAGGTATTGGCTATTCTGCTCCTTTGATAGGTCTAAACATTTTCCTGTCTTTTCCTTCCCACTACCATGATCAAGTCCAGAGCTTCATTCTGTCTTGAACTGTTGGGATGGCCACTTAACTACTCTTCCTTTCACCTCTCGCCCTGCAACTTGGAGCCTATAATCTGATGAATTCCAGACACTAAG